GAAATATATATGAATGGTATGCTATTTCACTAAAATATATATCCACATTATATAATAAGCTAGCCTTAGTTATTTAATCACTTGAAAAAAAATACAGATTTTAGGATTTTGATTTGAGGATTTTTTGCAGCTGGAGTCTCCATTTTATAGAATGTGGATTTTCATAGGAGTTGTAATTCTCATCTGATTAATTTTCTTTAAAATTCTAAAGAAAAACTGCATTTGACTTTGACATTTATTGTAACAACTTTTAGTAGGGAAAATGTTGCAGTGATTCTAATTATAAGTAGAATTCATAAAATATACTTAACACTATTATAACATCTACCTGGAACTTACTTATTTTTAAATAACACTACTTCTCTATTAGATAGGAAAAGTTGGTGCCAATATGAGTAATTTTGTGGGAGTGAACAGAAAATGAACGACAGCAAAGTAATAGCATGTGAAGAACTTTTCATGTTCAGAGTTGACCGATACTGCTAGTAAGTTATATATTTGTGTAAATGTATTCCACCAGTAATGAGGTCAGTTTGAAAAATATATTGCTTATAACTGAATTAAATCAAAATGAAACATTTTACAGTGATTGTTAAATGCCAAATTGAACTGATCTCATTAAATGTGAAATTCAAGTATATTTAGACTATGGCCTAAATTTTAATACATGAACATAATGAGATATGACCAGAATAGTTGGAAAAAGTTACTTATATATTTTTTTCTTCTAGCAGTTTCTCGTTTCACAGTTTAGATTTATTTTCTGGAATTTGATGAGATAGCTTGGCATGCGAGTATGAAGTATGTAGTCCCTTTCAGTAAATGGAGGAAGAACACACATATATTGGCCTATGCTGTCTTCTACAAGTACTTTGCTCATGATAGTTACTTAAGGCTGTTAGCTTTGAGTGTAAGTCAGTGTTCACAAAGAAGAGAAAGTTCATTAAGCACTCTGAGAGGTGCAGCTGCATGTAGTAAACACAGATGGAGCACACTTTTACTGAGGTTCTTAACTGAAAACAGACTTTAATCCTGTTCCTGGAATACTCACAATTGAACTTTCCATCAGTGATTGTGCATTTCTGCTGCAGAGACCAGATGTCACCTCATCATAGCCGTGTATTTATGTCTTGCTATCTGGGTGTAGTCTAGCATAGTCTCCAGGAGGGTAGAAGCCCAAGTCTGCAATTGTTTTTTGCTTCCAATGGAAATACACAGCATGCATGATAGTGCTCTTCTCTTACCTCACAGAGAGTTCCAAGTGGGGTTCTTCACAAGCCAAGGAAAGTAAGCCAGCCGCTCTCCATTCTCAGGGGATGTCTAGCCTAAGACTAAAGATTCTCTTCAGATAGTTACTGCATGTGCTAATAGAGTTTTCTTAATCCTATCCATCATTATGTCTTATTTGAGAAGGATTTGTTTTTCCTCCAAACAAAAATAGGCACTTTAAATCTTACTTGACCTAACTATGTACTTCCCACAATAGTAACCCATTACCAAAACATATTTTAAGGCTTAGATTTATGCCAATACCTAACATAATCTATAGCTCCCTACTTCTTTTAAACATCATAGAAAACTGTTATATAATAACAAATGAAATGCCGAGAACTATGTGTACATTCAAAAACTGTATTGTGGTGGGTGGATTTTTAATGAGAGGAAATAAAGATTGAGACTGTATACCACAATGTCCTATTACGTTTTTAAGGATGAAGGTGCTGTGGGAAAAATCACCAGTAATATCAACAGCCTTCCTCTTAGCAGGGACATTTTAAGCATTATTAAAATCTCCTATAATTAGGTGAAATTGGGTAGAATCTCATTTCTCATCTCCAGTTGAGCTGATTGGGCTACGTGCTGTGAATCTTTTCAAAGAGAAAGGGAAGTGATTCAGCCAGCAAAATCTAGTTTATTTGGGAATAGCAGAGGAATTGCAATTCAGGACAAGCAAACTATGGCAAACCATAGGCAAGTCCAGAGAACAAAGGAGGAAAGTGTCTGTTTATAGAGAAAAGGAAGAATTCGGAGGGGTTGTTTTGGACAAAAGTTCATTGGAGAAAGAGGAATTTGAAGTGGTGGCAGATTCTCATTGGTTGCAAGCATTGGAAGTGGTGGTGGCCATTCATTGGCTGCAGGTAAGGCAGCTTCCTATCACCAGGGGAGGGGAATTCTTCCTTTCTCTTGCTGGATTTTGCAAACTGTGACAGGTGCCATAAGCATGAGAACTGCCCCCTTCATGGCCTCCTGGCTCCAATTTTGTGTTAGGTTTCCTTAACACATTTTCACATTTCCCCCTTTTGATAGAGTTCTTTCTTCAAAAACATTGCTGATAGCGAATTGGATCATTAATTTCTTATTAGAATCGTTTTTGTCCCTTGGTGCCGTGAAGGACCTTTTCTGGGTGTCATGTCCCATGCCGGAGGGAAAGTACACAGACTGGAAAACACTGAGGCCACATCTGGATAACAGGCAAGGGTGGGGAGGGAGAGCTTCCAGGCATTTCCCACCTAGTCTATATCTTATCAAGGTTGTAAGTGTTGGAGATCATCTTGAAGCATTGAGTCAGCACACCCTATTGGGTATGTTGTTTTTATAAAGATTCAACAGGCAACAGGCACAAAGATTTTAAAAATGTTTACACAAAATAAGATGAGGAGCAGAATAATGACCCCAGCTTGTATTATAGTGCTAAACCAGGAGCCCAAACCAGCTAGAGATCAAAGGACCATAGATCATCAGGTGGAACTTTTTCTGGCCATGTGTATGTTCCCAGATATTATGTAATCGGGTTTTTACTTCTCTGGAGGAATTTATCCCTGTGAATAGGTACAATTTGTTGCATTGGGATTTATGATGGGGAGAAGTCAAAGCAAGGTACAGGAAAACCTGGTTGTTGAGGTTTGACTCAGTGAGAAATATCTGGGGGGGGGTGCAAGTATAATTAGGGGTCACATTGGAGATGAAGGGAAAATTTGCTATTGGGAAGGTTATAGGGTCACATCTGTCACAGCTGGATCGAGGTTTCTGATGACAGGTCCAACAATCAGAAAGGCTTCTTCCTTTTGCAATGGATTGGGAAATGTAAGCAAGGGCATTCTCTCTCCAGGACAGAGAAGGAGAAACAAGGTGAGAAAAAGCAGAAAGGAGAGAATATACAGGCCTGATCCTGTCATCTTGGGAAAGCTGTCTGCTTCAGTTCCTAAAAATCTTTAATTTGAGGTCACCAGTTGGTGTCCTGGTCCAGTCAGGGTTTGGGGTTTTCTTTAGATGAGACACATTGATCCAGGAGTCAACTCCTTACAGTGTGATGACACAAGGATTGGTTGGTAACACTTGATAAGGGCCTTTCCAGCAGGGTTGAAAAGAATCTTTTTGGAGATATCCTTTCCAATTAGCAAAATTCCTAGGTTACAGAGTGTGGTCTTTGATGTCTTTGTCTCCCAGAAGTGTGCTGTGAAAATGTTGCTCTACTTGAGTATGATTATTTTCAAGGGCTGTAATTAGAGCTTTGTAAGAGTAATGTATATCTCCTTTATAATGTGCAGGTCAGGAGAGGGAGAAGCTAGCTGTGCGAGACCCCAGTAATTTTCTCAAAAGATGAGGGTTTAAGAGTTCTAAGGGGATGGATCTGAGATTTAGAAGGGCCAATGGCAATACTTCTGGTCAAGGGATTTGGAAGGTTTCCATAAATTTTTCCAATTGAGTTCAGTTCCTTTGACTAGCCTTGAAGACTGAGGATGATAAACACGGTGAAAATGCTATCCAGCTGGCCAAATGGCACAGACTTGCCATAATATTTGACCAGTAGAATGGGTTCTTCAGTTGTCATGGAGCTCAAGAGGAGTTCCCCAGGTAGGCATGGTTTTATTCCAATAGGATTTTACCTACTGAAGAAGGATAGTAGCTTGTCTACATGGAAAGCCTCTGGCCCAGTGCAAAAACATACAAATCATTACCAGGACATATTTGATTCCATGACGTGGGGGTAGCTGATAAGGTCCATTTGCCAAAATTTAAACGGCCCATTAGGCAATTTAAAGTGCCCAGGAACAGTGTGGACAGTTTTCCCTGGATTGTATTTTAGGCAGGTAGGGAAAGCAAGGTAGGTACTTTTTGCAGTCTTATTGATATTTCTCCACCAGTATTGATTTATAAACATCATTTTATCTATAGACCAATGGTATAATGTATGTACAGTGGTCAGTAGTGGGAACTTTAGAATTTCTGGTAGGACCAGGTTTATACTTGGTCCAAGCCAGAGGTTTCTCTTCTTATCATACTAACAACCATTTGATTGCCAATATTGTTTTATTGTTTGGTGTCTGCAGTTAATTTCTCCAGATTATCATCTGGAAGCGAGTTCCTTTGGACCATGACAGAGATTTGACTTCTAGACCCTTTGAGGGCAGTATTTCTAAATGGAAATGTCAGTAAGATGATTTCCTTTGGCTTCCAGAAAGTCAAGCTTATAATGTCCCAGGATTTTAATAAGAGCAGGTAAGAGTATGGCATCCAGTAATTCCTGAAAGTAAGGGCTGCTTTTAATTTTATCTCCACTGGAAGTAAGGAAACCGCATTGATTCCCTAACATTCCAAACTTGCAAGTCACTCCGAAGTCATATATCCTGTTGGTGTAAATGTTGGCAGTTTCACCTTTGGCTAGAATATGGGCCCATGTGTGCTTATAGCTCCTTGTTGGGCTGAAGTGGCCAAAGGCAAGGGTGCTACCTTGCTTGCTTCAAAAGGAGTTAATACTGAATACCCACCACAATATCAACCCTCAGTGAACAATCAAAACTTACTATTATCCACAGGAATTTCATTTAAGTCATCACAGGGGTCAGAAGGGGATCTGTTAGTATTAAGAAGTTGTGAGTGATTTCATTGGTAGAGGAGGGGAGACGAGTAGCAGGGTTAAGGTTGTTATAGCAAGCAAAAGTAGTATAAGGGGCAGTTCACAGTAGAATTTCATAGGAAGTGAGATGGCTTATTGAAGGATGCTGAGTGTGATGAGAGCTAAGAGCAGCTTTGGCAGCACTGAAGGGGCTCAAGGGGATCCCAAGACTATTTCCTCAGTGGCCTTTACCAAAAAAGCGGTAAGTAGCAGGTAGAGCTCTGAGGCATGGGGGTGGAGCGTATCCCCAGGCTGTGGGATCTAGTTGTTGCAGGATCCTATTGGTTGGTGGTAATCCCCAAGATTTTGGTTGAGTATCCCAAGGGCATCCCCTTCCTTTTTGTATGCAAAAAGGAAGAAAGGGAACTGATAATTTGGATGTTCAAGGGCAAGGGGCCTTATTAAACCTTCTTGTAACATTGAAAAGTCATGTCATCTGGATCTTCCTAGATGATAGGGTCAGGTTTAATAGTTTTAACAAGGTATATAAAGGTGGGGTCATAAGGAGAATTTTAGGATACAGTTGCAATAATAGTCTGCCAATTCAAGAAAACCTCACAGTTGACATTTGGTTTGGGGCTTTGGGAATTTCAGGATGCCATGAAAACTGTCTAGATCCAAATGCAGTCCTTGTTCTGAGATTAGAAGTCCTAAATATTGAACTTGAGTATGAACAGATTGTAATATTTCCTTAGAGATGTTATATCCTTTTTTTGGCTAGGAGTTTTAGCACATGGATGCTATCTTCTTGTGAGGAGGTTTGGAAAGGGGAGCAAAGAAGTAAGTCATCCATATATTGTATTATTGTGGAGCCTCCAGGGAACTTGATATCATCTGGGCCAGCCTTTAATGTTTGTGAGCTTTCTGTGAAACCCTGGCATTACTCTCCTGTAGCTTTGCTGTCCTTCCCAAGTAAAAGCAAGAAGATATTGACTACCTTTATCTACTGGGATACTAAAGAAAACACTACATAAATCGATCATGAAAAAATTTGCTCTCAGTAGTACTGGAGGTAAATAAAGTGGAGGTTGGGAATAATAGAATGGTGGGGGATGACAATATTGTTTATGGCTTAGAAGTCCTGGACAAGCCATTTGGTTTCTTCACAGGTAAAATAGGAATGTCACAGGGATTGATACAAGGGATGAGGGGGCCCTGGCCCTTACCGTTTTATTATTGGCTTATTGCCTTGAAGGGCCTCTTTATTTACAGGTATTGATTAATTATGGGGAGAGGTTTTGGGGGATCTATTTGGATCTTAATAGGAGGTGCACTGTGGATTCTGCCAATATCAGTTTAGGATTTACCCAGGAGGGTGGTAGATGATCCAACAGGGACAAATGATTAGTGTCCTTGGAATTAGCTCTGGGGGCCATCAGAAACATAGCAGATAAAAGATGTTGAGGGTCATGAGATTTGCCTACTTGGCTATTTTGGTTGCTGCTGTGAAATTCTAGAATTATTTCCCCTTTTCAAGAGAAAGAACTTCCAGCACGATATTTTTCTAGGAAACCTTGGCCCAATAAATCAAAAGGGGTAGAGGAGGAGAAAAGTGTGGGTATCTCTTAGAAGGCCTAAGCGGAAGAGTATCATTAGGCATAGGAACCTGTTGAGGTTTATTAGAGACCTTCACTCTTTGAACTGTTTAGGACTCTGAGGCAGGGGCTGTTTAATGGAAGTGGTGTTGAGCACTAGAGTGTTCCTCCAGTGTCAATCAGGACACAGATTCATTTCCAGTTGGAGAGTGGTTTCTTCAAGTGCATTCCAAGTACAGAGAACAAAGGAGGAGAGTGTCTTTTTATAGAGGAGAGGAGGAAGTGGGAAGGGGTTGTTTTGAACAAAATTTCATCGGCAGGAAATGAGAGTTCATAGTGGTGGTGGCTTCTCATTGGCTGTGGGTAATGGAAGTAGAGGGCCCTCTTATTGGCTGCAGGTGAGGGCAGTTGCCAGGCTGAGAGGAAATTTTCCTTCTTCCTGCTGGACTAAGCAAGCTGCAATGAGTGCCACGTGTGTGACCGCCCTCCCGGCATGGCTTCCTGCCTCCAATTTTGAGTTAGGTTTCCTTAACTTATTTCACAATGCTCTTTAAGATCTCTCCAGATTCAAAATGGATTTTATGATTTAGTAAGTTTTCTAATTCTTTGTCTTGTTTTGAACCCTTACAATATTGTGGGTTTTGGGGAGTACATTGTGTGGTTGAGAATACAAAAGTTAGGCATCTAACCTACTGGATTGTGAGGCAAACTCCTCCCATTGCCTTAATTTCTTTCTAAAACCTCATGTAAATTTGTGATGTTAAATCTAAGGTGATTTTTCAGATTCCTTCCTGTTCTGCCATAAACCAACGTGGAAAATAAATAGCTGGTTTCCACAACAACAACAAAAAAGGCTACCTTTTGCTTTGTTTTGCCTTTGTCTATTGAAATAGCAATCTCTAGCCTTTGAGAATAAGAATGTTGTTCCTCTCTGAATCAGCAAATGAGAGGCAGGTTCACTGCCACAGATGCCTAAGACCATGAATTTGGAAAGGAACCTGAGCGGCATGTTTTATAAACCCAGCCCCACCTCACTGGTTACTACCTCTGAGTTGTGCTTGAGAAGACACAGTAGAAGAATTCTGAAGAACTCAGGGACTACTCCCACCTTCTCCTTGCAGCAAGGGGCAAATCGGAAACATTGTTGGTAAAATCTCCAAGAGAACTCCCTCCCTGTTGACAGGGCCTAATGTGGTTGAAGCAAAGCCCTCACCTGCTGAGAAATGGAGACCTAAATAAATAGCACAAACCAAACAAGCACGACTTTTTTCTATGATCTGCCATAAAGACACTTTTACTTAGGCCTCGCTCAGGTAAATCATCCCCACAAAGAGATGCCAACAAGCAAGATCCTTGGAAAAGCACCGAGCAGCAATTTCTTGCCGGCGTGGAAAGTTTCAGAGTGTGCTCTGTAACCGTGCCAAGCTTTATTCTCGATTCTGTGGCATCACAGAACTCAAGCGCTAAAGGGACGCTGGAGTAATGGCTATGATGTCTGACTTAATCACCATTAGAAATATGGTAGAGGGCTTCGGCAGGAAAATGCAGAGCCATTTATTTAGCACCTATTTTAATGGTGAGTTAGGTGCTATCCAAAGAAGTGTAATCCGACATTTCAGAGGAAGTAGGTACTGCTTGATCTTGTCTTCTGGCAAAATTACGTTCCATAATCATAACAAGGTGAAATGTGGCAATAACAATATCTATCCTCTTCTCATTTCTATCATCGAAAGTATCCATTAAGCATCTCTTGGGGCCCCTGGTTGGCTCAGTCAGTGGAGCATACAACTCTTGATCTCGGGGTTGTGAGTTTGAGCCCCAAGTTGGGTGTAGAGATGACTTAAAAATAATAAAATCTTTTAAAAATGTATTCATTAAGTGTCTCTCTGTGCTAATGTGTTATAGCACATTAAAAAAAGTTATGGTTGATGTAGTTATATGAATAATAGATCTTAAATATATGCATTAAGCAAATGAATGTTTATAGCACATGTTCTGATTTTTATTAAGTATAAGACATTTGTTAAGAAGGTGGTCAAATGATAAATTAGGTCAATAACCCACGCTGAAGATGGAGTCTCAGATGTGAATTGGTGACACAAACCTTTACATTCTTGCAAAGGCCTGAGAAGGCTACGAGCTTTCTCCTAGAGGTTCAGGCCAACAAATTTCTCTACATGAAAGTGGAAACTTCTAGGTGCCACAGGAGCTTAAGGGCGAGACAGCAAAGCCTGATACTGGGGAGGATATAATAAAGGGCATGCTACAGCACCCCTTCTGGAAATTTTATACAGTTGGTTGAGATGCTCAGCTCAGTAAATATTGCCCAGCATCAGTCCCCACCGCTACTTTCTAATCAATCAGTGTTTATCTGCCATATACCGAGTGAGATGTTAGAGATACCAAGATATCCAGGCAGAGCCAGGCATGCAAACAAATAATGCCAACATAGTATGATAAGTACATGATGGATGTATTGTCAATAAAAGTGGAAGAAAGACTGACTCCTCTTTTGGTAGAAGGATGTGGGACTAGAATGTTTCAAGGAAGAATTAACAAAAGGAAACTTCTTGAAGTAGGGTCTTAAATAATGAATAAGAATTTCATACATTTTCTGGAAGTATGATCCCTGGAGCACTTAAAACAGAACCACTTCCAAAGCTTATGAAAAATGTTCTTGAGCTCCAGCCCAGACCTACTGATTAAGAATCTCTGGGGCAGGAGATTTATAAACTTTGGACCACTGTCCCAAGGTGTAAGGTGGGTAAAGGTATTGCTGATAGAAACTCTCCTACCTCCTCTTTACTCATCAGTCACTTCTTTCTCCTTGAGTGTCAAGGCACACTTTCCAATTCCTACTAATAATTAACTTTCAGGAACAGCACAGATACTATTAAAAGCTTTTATTCCAATATTAAAAATTGCATGGCCATGAGCCTACTCTTGTGGCCAGGTGCACTCATATTCATGTTCACTGATGCAGAACTGAATTTCATAGGCGGGAGTCCACAGTCACCCTTTCAGAACAGACTGCACTGGATGGGGACCTAGAGGTCCCAGCCATGCCAGATATTGACCCTCAAGTTATTGGGTCTTATGAGGGTTCAGAATGTGATTAGATCAGGAGCTCAGGACATCCACTCTTTACCAACCAGAATAGAAGTACTTCCCTATTTTAATAACTGGTACAGTACCAGGGTACCAGCTGCATATTTTCCTGTATTTACCTAATAAAACAAAAAAGTGAGGTAAGGACATGAAGAGTTCAGTAAGGTATTCAGAATGTTCTCCATAAATTGAGACTTTAAGTATATCTTAGGAGTGAAAGCACAGACAACTAGATGGTATCAGAGTTTATGTACTATCTGTGTACTTTAAAATTTTTGTTTCATAAGAACTGGGCTAAATAAAATTACTTTTGTTCCTTTTAAGGGGTTGATAATCACCTTTACAGCAACCAAGTTATAGCACTTAAATTAATAATCCTAACTTTATTTGCATTTTGGAACTGACCAGAATATATTCCTGATTCTCTAGAGTTTACCATTGGCACAGTCTCCCTGTACCTGTCTTACTTCAGGTGGTTGTAACAAAATACCATAGACTGGGTGGCTTACACAGCAATTCCTTTCTCACAATTCTGGAGGCTGGAAGTCTGAGATCAGGG